AGTTTTCAATCCTATTATGAGTTCGCACAGTCAGTTTTACTCTTTTTTTTCCCCGATATATTCTGTTTTCTAGTCCGCATCCAGAGTTTGTGTGGGTGTTTGACATATCATCAGGTTAAAGTAAAATAGGAATATGTAATCATGAAACTACACAAATTGGCAAAGGCAAGCTAGAGCAATATAGTATTTAAAATTACGTTTAGCTTTCTTTAAAAATATATTGACCAGATAGCTAGTTGTCAGAGACCTTTTAATTGTAATTCAGTTTTTAATAATACACTAAACTCAAGTATTGGTCTTGTGAAGCACCGTGGGACTGATCCAAATCCAACTGACGTCCAAAGAAAGGCACCAAATGATTTCAGTGAGCTTTTGATCAAGCCTGGGTTTCCTCATATGAAGTTCTGAAATTGAACTCCTGTGACAATCAGAGTTGAGAACACATGGAAATTTGCAGAGTCTGATCTCCCTTGGCTTTAATATACAAATCTCATTTTGTCGTTGGAATGCTGCTACTTTCTTGTTCTGGGCTGCCATGGTGTTTTAACCTAAATATTTGAATCCAATGCATCAGTGTTGCTTTCTGACAGATCTGTGTTTACTATGCCAAACCGTGCTCACAGCTATACTAGTAATGCTATAGCTGAAGTCCTGTGAATGAAAACAGAATTTGGACTAGCAAATATGTCATTTATGAACATAAGATTGTTGGCTTATTTGAAAACTGTGAGGTAAAATCCACATGATCACCCTTTTTTGTTGCTTGTTTGCTGCTACATTAAGCTACTTTCAGAAACTGGCTCCTTTTTTTTTTTTTTATAATGGTAAAGGATGTCAGGCTATTGGAGATCTTTAAAGCAAAAGCCTACAGAAATAAAGAGGAACCTGTGAAGTGAACGCATACAGCTAATGGATCAAGAAATTGCACTGATTGCTACAACATATTATGAGACTGGTACTATGTAAAAGTGATGAAAATGACCCCTGATTTATTTTGTCATGAATTATAGCTGTTAACTCTAAATACTGAAGGGCACTCACTGGGACTTTCTTTTACCTAATTGGGAAAAAAGTAGAAAAATTATAGTCTTACTGGGATTATAGTCTGGAAGCTACTCTGTAGTTGTATGGGGGTGTTTTTTGTTTGTTTGTTTGTTCGTTTTTTGGGGGGGTTTTTTGTTTTGTTTTTTTTTTTTGAAGGGGGTATGAAGTTGGCAAGAAAGATTCAGCCATACTTTTAGATGCTCACTCTTTCTGGAAAGTGAAGTTGGGGGATAATCATAGTTGTTAACTACACTGATGTGATAAAGGCACTCTGGGCTTCCATATCAGAGACCCACATGTGAGAGTGGATCTGTACGCTTCACTTTCTTGAGAACTGTGATATTGGTAAACCACTGCTTGCAGTCCTGAGCAGAGGATTTTGGTGACCCTGCTCACCACACATCTGCCAGCCAGATCATTGTATGTGGTTGGCTCCGACCTCAGAAAAAGCCAGGTATTTTGCTAACCCCTCCTTAATGATAACTGATAACCGCAATTCCCGTCTAAGGTGGAGGATCATAAGAAAGTAAGACAAACATGTAAATCACCATCCAGAGCAGGAGATTATGCAGGTCAAGCACTAGAGCAAGACAAGCACTGGGGGGGGAAGGGTTGTGCTACAATTTCTGTGGTGTTCTGCCTTTCACACAGGAGTTGACCAATGTGCTCTATTCAGTAGAATGTGATAGACTGTACTCCAGAGCCATCAGTACTGAAGTGTCATGGCTCTGTCTACATCCAATCTACCAAATTTTTTTCAGTTTTGCTTTGGCCAGGGGCATATGCTTCTTTCCAGAGCATATGGGCTGCTATTGTTGAAAACCCCTGCACAACCAGGGAAGAAGGGGAAAGAATTCCTGTTTGTCTCTCCCTGTTTCACAGGAATGTCTAGGAGCCATTCTCAATCTGGCCCTTAAGAGTAGTGGTAGTCCATGATTCATATGTCCTCTACTGATGGCTTCAACAGCTCTGGCTGGGTGCTTGCTGGAGACTCTGTTGCTTGTTTCCAGCTTCTCCTATAGATGTACTGACAATTCCTAGCAAATGGAAGCCTTGTAAAAGATTATTGGATATGAAGTAATCTGCACCAGTGGTTAATAGTATTTTAGAAGTGGAGAAGAGGAATTATGAGTGATTGTGAGGACTGGAATCCCCACTAGGACTAGAGAAACCAGCTATCAGCAACAGAGGAACATCTGAGGTAGTTGGGAGAGAGAGGAAGGGGGAGGAGAATGGTGAAGATGTGAGGGAAAAGAGGTTGAGGTATTTTGGCAACATTTCAGTGTGTTAGGGTCAGATGACTCCCAAAGTAAAAGCAAAATGCAGACAGATTAACTTTTTAGAAATATACTTACTATGGATATTTTTAATTATTTACTTTTCCATGTAACATAAACTTACATGGGTAAAATCCACTTCATGTGATGTAAGTCTCTAAGTGCCACAGGACTTACACAGTGAGGTGGCAGGCTGTTAAATAGTGCCCCTTCATTCTAAGCAATAGGAGTTTTGAAATTTGTGTCATGAAATCTAGATTCCTCCATATTGTCTGGGAGGAGTTATGCTTATATGCTATCACAAAGCCACAAAAATAGAGACCATGTGCTCTTCCCCTTCTGTCTTTTCAATGCAAGAACTATTTGAAACTCAGATATTTCTTTTGTGCAGGAAGTTCATTGGGAAGAGAATTGAGGCTGATTGCTAAATAATTTGGGGGGGGGTGTATTTGTTTCAAAATAAAGATGCAGTTTTGGGATATGTTCAACCATTGGGTTCAAATACATGTATATTTCACTATTTCTTTTCTACTGTATGTCTAGCTTTCTTTATTTGTTTTTCTAAATTGTGCTGATTATTGTGTATGTTCTAGTTGTATATTATGTGATTGCCTAACCTCTAATTTACTTTCTGTAATCCTATTATGTTTCATCTTGCTTTGATTTATGAGCAAACACTCTCAAATCAGTAACATGACTTTTCCTATTGGAGGTCATATAGATTTGAATTGAGAATAAGTTTCCATTAATGATGCATAAGCTAATCCATTGAATTTGTTAGCCCCGGTGATTATTTCAGTTACGTTTGATAAGATGGCTTAAAATTCCAGAGAGATTTTTTTTTTAAATCTTAAAACACTATAAAGATTTAATAATGTCTCTGAAATGCTGTTGGTTTCATCCCTGTTGACTTTACGATAAGGGCTTTGTTGAAAAAGAGTGAGATGGTAGCCAGACTGCTTGAGGAAACATGAAAAGATTAATGTTTGGGTTCTGAATGGCTTCTAGATTCTCACTTCCTGAGTCAGTGGAGCTTAGCCATGTCACAAGAATGACACACATTGACTCTCTGGAGGGAGCTGCAAGTATTTGCCTTATTATTCTCTCGGCTGGGTGAGTAATTGAAGAATATTGTGTCTGTACAGGAAGAAGTTTCTGACCTGTCATCCAGCTGAATGATTAGAAGATACACTTGCCTCTCATAAAAGGGATACATTTAGACTTTAAATTGGAAGCAGGGGGTCTCAGCATAGGGAAGTAAAGGCCTCATCTGGACTCAACTTTAAAACAAGGCAAAATGGTGATTAAGACTAAGCAGTGCTCAGTTACTGTATTAATTCAAAAACAATAAAAGTAGTCTTTTGTCACTTTTAATAGCAAAAAAAGACAGTGATCTGATTATAGTTAAAATTTTGGATTGTTGGTTTTTTTTTTGTTTGTTTTTTGGCCACAGGGGAAAGTGCTGTTTAGTTGTTTCTCTTTTGGTTTACACATTTCTCCCTTTTTTATTGCTGTTTTGTAGATCTATTTACGCTTCTTGGACTATGAAATGCAGAATTCTAATGAATGCAAAAGGAATTTTGTGGCTGTCTATGATGGAAGTAGCTCAGTGGAGGATTTAAAAGCTAAATTTTGTAGCACTGTTGCTAATGATGTGATGCTGCGTACAGGTCTTGGGGTAATCCGCATGTGGGCAGATGAAGGCAGTCGAAACAGCCGATTCCAGATGCTCTTCACATCTTTCCAAGAACGTAAGACTCCAAACACTTTATTTTTCAATGTCAGCTGATACAAGTCTCATAAACTGTTAATGACACTTTCTTCATACAGAGTAAGAACTTAACAAACTAATAAAATCACAAACAATGTTGTTATTCCATACGTTACACCGTTTGGTGATATGTGAGGCAGTGGTTAAAGGGGTGTGACCTTGGACCAGTCTTTTAACCATTATCTACCCCAGTTTTCATTTCTTTAAGATAAAGGTGATCAAACTCAGAGTTTTTGGTGAAGCTTAATGACTGACTATTTGCTTTGTGACCTTAAGATGAAAAGAACTGGAAAATTGTAGTATTATTATTTTATCCCTAGAGGATGTGTATGTATTATCAAGAAGGTACATCCTAGCCAGTTGAGCAAGGAATGATAGTTTAAATCATTTGAATGAATTTTTAGTAACCGTAGAAATCAACCAGAAACTGACGTTATGGTTTATAAAAGATACAAAAACTTAAATTTGATTAGTATTCATTTTGGACAACCTGTTGTTGGGTTTTTTTAATCCATAGAATAAAAACAGCAACAACTCTTGCACTCAGATCAGGAGGAAAGAGTTGCCTTTGAAGGTAACAAAAGACAATCATTTTCAAATAGATTCAAAGACAGCAGCATTGCCAGCTACCAAAAATAGGTCTGAAAGGGACTTGGATAGACCATCTGTACTCATGGTAGGAGTAACTATTATCTAGACCAGTCCTAACATCAATGATTAATTTAAACCAATTGTGATAAGAGCATATATGTTTGTTTAATGAAAATAACAATATAGGTTTTTTAGGGAAGGACTGCTTTTTATTTATAAATGATAATTCATGTTGATTTTTAAACATATAATCTTTATTGCGGTGCATCTCACATTTGATGTGCAGCACACACAGTAATAAGTGCCCTGGGGAGGAAGGGTAGGTAAAACCAATATAGCAATAACTTATAGCTGGATAGCCAGAGTTCCATAAATTAAAAAAAAAATTAGTGGAAAGCCATCAATGAGTAGAATGTATGCATAATTCAATCAAATACATTTTTCATCTGTATTCTATATGAACCTTACGATGAAGCAAAGAGACTGTGGAGGTGAGCCTTTGTAATGCCTTAATTTGACTCTGATTAAAATTTCTGATACTCTACTGGCTTGCCACTGTGTTTGTCACATTTCTCTCACGTTGCAGCTGTAAGGGTAGTTTGTGTTCCTCCTGTCTATAAATCAACCCTGTGTCTAAAATAGAGAGAGATTCCTTTGAGATGATACTGCTCTTTGCTTTGTTTCCATGGCTGGAGAAGCCTTGAATATTCAAGGTCTGATTCATCTGTTTCATTGGGGGGGAGGGAGAAAAAAAATCTTTGTTACCTTAGAAACAGAGAAATAGGCACCAAGGATTCATTGCCTCTAAAAGACTGAAGAGTAATGCATACAATCATAAACTTATGACCAAGATTTGAGCAAGTGCTGTATATGTTTACACAGCTTTGAAATTCAGTCTTACACAGAAAAAAACTATTTTTTAAAAATCTGTATTCCTTGAAACCTGGAAACAGTTCTGTGAACCTGACTCAGCCAAAAAAGAAGAAAAAGGAAAACAAACAAAAAACCCATATCCAATAACAACTGATGAGTAACCATTTCAAAATGAACAATGGGTATCAGGTGCTAAACCATAATATGTCAGGATGGTTCATAATTTTTCCATGCCATACTAATTGGTCAGATTCTTCTAAACTATCACTGACAAGTTAAAATGTTATCACACATTAAAGGCTAAATTCATGTATACTATGCCAGTTGTCCACAGATGGTTATGTACATAAAATATTATTGTCTGAGATCAAAGTTAAATCAGTTGTCTAATATGCCAACGATAAGACACAACAGGTAGGGAGTGAAAAGTCTGGTGTTTAGTGGCACATCGAAATGATGAGATCTTCCCCTTGAGAGGAGAAGATTTGCAGCATTCCCTGTCACACATCTTTCAGAAACATAAAGGACGGAGAAAGGGAATCCTAAAGACTAGGAGCTGTGAGACTAACTAGGAAATAGCTGCTCTGTTCATTTATTGTTGCTGCCAAGTAGCACAGTTACACATATATAGCCTCCCAAGTTCCATTTCTTAATGTACAATGTTCATGCTTGGGAATACATATTCTGATGGTGTTCATTTTTATTGAGCAATACCTTGTGCAGTGGCAGAGGCCCTGATGGTTTTCAAGTAGCAGGAGAGTTTTTCTGCCTCATTTTCTCATTAAAATCTATTCATTAGGCACAGTAGCATTCTGGGTACTGGGCATTAATTCAAGGTAGAGAAATCCAAAAGAAGACTTAGCCTACATGCTGTTTAAGTATCTGTGTTCCAGGATGGGTGCATATGTGTAAATAAAATAAGTTTATGGTTAGAATATACAATTCTACACCACTGATTTCACCTTCAGTAGAAAGTTGTTCTGCTAGACTCTGGACTTCTGCTGTTGCTGTGCAGAGGAATGATATTGGTATCACTGGTCAGACACTGATCTGAAGTAAGGGTGACAGTATCATACAAAGTGTCTAAATTGATTCTACCAACAAAACTGAATAACTGAAACAATAGCAGAGTATAGTAGCGTTTCAGTATTAACTAAGTGGAATCATCATCTGTACCAAATATCGCTGAGTTTTGTCCATTTAAGTTTTGTCCATTTAAGCCTGTTAAATTCATCTAACTATAGTACCATTCCCATTTTGTATTCTCTCAAACTATAACCACATTTTAAAATGCCCTTTTACCATGCACTGGTAGTTCTTCATTTCTTTGTATAATAGTTACTATAGCCTACTTTGAATATAAATTTTAAATTATATTTAAAATCAGAATAGTAGGAAGATGCAGAAAGGGTGAGAGAGGAAAAAAAATATTAGTTTGGATGGCCAGGTGAAATTTGAAAAATTATTCTTCCCTAAACTATCCATATAAATACTACAGGTGTTTCCTTCCCCACTTACTGATTGTTCACTTCACCTACCTGAACTGTGACAGTCATCTCCAGCCTGATTAATGACCGGCATACTATCTACAGCCCCTTCAGTGAGCTTGCTTCTAGACATGCCTCTACTTTAACCTAAAAGCAGACTCTCAGAACCTGAATCTGTGGATAAGAGAAAATCCCTATGTGTGCACTACATAGAAGATGTTCATTCTATCACTTCTGACAGCTGTTTATTAGTACTCTGTCCCTCTATCCATAATCCTGAGGGCACTGAACACGCCTTCTAATGAGGGGATCTCCTTCATCCTTCATATCATTCTTTCACTTTCCTTTACCACAACCCTGAGCTAAAAAAAAGATTGCACTGAGCTCTTTAGAGCTCCCCTCAGAAAATATCATTCTTTCACTTCCCTTTACCACAACCCTCAGCTAAAAAAAAGATTGCACTGAGCTCTTTAGAAGTCCTTTTATGCTTGGCTGTGTTAAAGGGAGGCTTTACAATTCTTCCTAGCTTCCTTTCCTAAATCCAAACATTTTCTGATAGTGGAATATAGGACCAGATTTGTTTACACAGTATAACCAGCTAAATTTATCCTTTCTGCCCAAGGAGGATCGCCCGGTGTAAAGGCAATCCTCCTATGGGATATGATCACAGAATACTAGAACTTTAAGGAACCTCAAGAAGTCATCAAGTCCGGTCCCCTCCCCTCATGACCAAGCACCGACTAGATAATCCCTGATAGACATCTAACCTGCTCTTTAATATTCCCAGTGATGAAAATTCCTAAACCCCCCGAGGCAATTTATTCTAGTGTTTTATCACCCTGACAGTTAGGAAGTTTTTCCTTATGTCCAACCTAAACCTTCCTAGGACAAGACGCATTGGGCTTAAATTGCAATTATCAGAGGCCAAGGAGAACAATTTTTCTCCCTTCTTCTTTAACAGTCAATTATCATCAGAGGCCAAGGAGAACAATTTTTCTCCCTTCTTCTTTAACAGTGTCATATTGTTGACTCTCTGGGTATTTTTAAAAGCTGGCTAGTGCGTTCTACGAGGCATACAGATAGTTCGGAATAGCTAGCTAGTTCGAACTATCTAGCCCATGCCGCCGTGAAACTGATTGTTCCTTGCTACATGGGGGACTCTATCCTCCCTAGGAGTTGCAACCCCTCGCTATGTGGGGGACTCTATCCTCCCTAGGAGTTGCAACCCCTCCCAGTTTGGTATCATCTGCAAATTTAATAAGAATACTCTCTATGCCAATATCTACATTGTTGATGAAGATATTGAACAGATCTGGTCCCACAACAGACCACTGTGAAACCCCACTTGTTATGCCCTTCCAGCATGACTACAACCATTAATAACTACTCTTTGAGACTGGTTATCGAGCCAGTTATGCACCCACCTCATAGTGACACCGCAGAGACATTAATATTTTTGTTTTATTATGTTAGTTCCTAACCAAGCCTGTGTTGAGTACCGTACATACATGTATTAAGAAAAGTATCTGCCCTGAAGAACTTAGTGGTAAATAGACATGCTGCTACTCATGCCTCATTGGCATAGTTGAAGAAAAAGGGAGCATTTAGGACATACATTGCCATACTGATCCCCACCTGATTTTTGGCCCTGTAGGAACATTTTGTAGCTACCATAAGAAAGAGGATCTCTTGGATGGCTTTAACACAGAGCAGGGTGATTTGACCCTACTTCACAGAGCTATACCAGGATTGGGGATAAATTAAATGACTTTTGTATGCATCATCTCGAGCTACACTCACAGCAAAACAACCAAACCCCAGAAGCCAAATAATTCAACTTGGGGAAAAAATCATATTTCATGATCTGGACCAAATATGTGTGTCTTTCCATATTGGGCTGCTGAAGTTTGGGTTACTAGTTATACCAGGGGTGGGCAATAAGTTTTGAAGTGGGGGTCTGCTTCAAAATTTTGAAAGTGGTCTTGGGCTGCTGTGATAGGGCAGAGCCTTTAAATAGAAGGAGTTTAAT